AAATATATAGTGTGTTGCAACGGTGCATGCAGATATGCCGTCTCTATATCCAAATGATTTATAGCGTATTTCTCCTCAGCTGCCCACACTAATGCTGCCCTTAATGTAGTAGCCTTCAGACTAGGTGCAAACACCTCATCATAGTCATTTGCTGTTTGATTGAACCCTTGTGCTACTAACCTGGCTTTATGGGTAACAGTCCCATCTACACCTGTCTTCAGTTTATAAACCCATTTACATCCTATAGCATGTTTACCTGGTGGTAACTTAACGTTTTCATATACCTCGAGTTTTTTTAATGATTCTAGTTCCTTATCCATTGCTTTCTGCCAAGCAGCCTAATCCTTAGCAGGATACAGTTTTAGCTCACTATAATTACTTGGAACTGTATTCACTAGGCATACAATACTAGCCTGATATCTATCAGGTGGTCGTGTTACACAGGTTGAACATCTTGATAATACAGGGCTTACTGGTGGACTCACCTGTGCCACCTGCTCCTGTTCTTCTACTCCCTCCTGTGCCTGTCCTTCCTCTTTAACGGCTATTCGTGGTTTACTGATTTTATCTTTAGGGACGATTTGGGTGTCAATAATAATATCATTGCTGGATTCCTGTTCCAGTTTATCCCATCTAATGGGCTCGAGAAATTTTGCACTAGCACTACAATAAACTTGAGCTGTGCCTTGATCACAGAATCTAAATGATCTATGGTTGGCCTCGTAACCCACAAAAAATAATTTCTTAGCTCTATGTTGCCCTTTCAGTCTTACTTGTGAGGTAATACGCACCCATGCTGGAGTTCCAAATATGTGTAGGTAACTTAAATTTGGTTTTCTGCCAGGCCAACGAGTGAATGGTAATTCTGCAGTCGTTGTGATAACTACAATGTTTAACACATGGTTGCTACACATTATGGCCTCACCCCACAGTGTTTCAGGCAAACCTGAATCAGATAACATAGTATGAGCCATGTTTGCTCTCTTCGTTCTATAAACGAGTTATGTTGTGGTCTGTAAGGTGCAGAACGTTTATGTTCAACACTAGCCAATTTCAGCATTGTTTGGAATCTTTTGTTAACAAACTCAGTCCCATTATCAGTAACTAAAGTAATTACTTTACTTTTCTTTTTTTTTTCTCTGCAAACCTTAGCCAGTTAAAGAAATGTTGGAATGTTTCTGTTTTGTTTTTCATAAGATAGCAGAAACCGTATCGTGAGTAATGATCCATAATACTCAAAATACAGCAGGCACCCCCTAAACTAGGTTTCTTAGGATCAATTATGTCAGCAAAAACAACCTCTAAAGGTTCTTTGGTCTTAAACCCATTAAGTCTGTTTGCAGAAGTAACCTTGCTCTTCTCTTGGCTACAGGCATTATAGTTTAAATACTTGCTACAGGGTTTCAATTTAACTCCCTCTGACAATTCAACAGTTTGTTTGAGCATTTTGAAATTAATGTGCCCTAGACGTCTATGCAGTAAATGTATACATTCATCATGTGGCTTAACATTGTTATAAACTGAGTTAGCCATCTGCACCTGGTCATCAGGTATCACATATAAATCATTCTCTAAAGTAGCAGTAACACTTTTACCCTCTTTCTCTATTATACAGTTATCTCCCCTAAAGGTTACTACATAACCATGATTAACTAAAGCCCCTACTGATAATAAATTAAATTTTAGTTTAGGTACATATAACATAGTTAAATGTTCATTTATACAAGAACAATATGCAGTACCATCACCTGATGCTTTAATCTTCCATCCATTTGTCAATGATACATGTTGTTTACTCGTGGACATCTTTACAAACCTTTTTCAATCTTTAGTAATACACTGTGATGCTCCACTATCAACAACCCACAAATCATTGTTTACAGTTGAATTGCTAGACATAGCTAAACTAACATTCTTCTTAGCTTTCTGGTGTTCACTAGTATTCTGTTATTTTCCTTTCTTACAGAATCTAGCTAAATGTCCCCTAGCCCCTCAAGAAAAACATTTCCTAACAGTATAGGCAGTTGAAGACAAATCTTCTTCTTGTGGTTGTTCCTTCCTCAGTTGATCTCTATCTAGCCGTCTTCTTGCTTCTTCTAACAACCTTCCAGTTATGTCAATCAATGTCAGTTTATCTCTGGGCAGGAATTCCAGTGAAGATACGTAATCATCATAACTTTCATCCAATGAGGAAAGAATGATGTAAACTTGATGCAGCTCTGAAAATATCAGTTCTTTTTCATGTAGCTCTTGAAAAGTTCTTTCCATGAAATTCAAATGAGCTAACATATCTCCATCTTTCAGAAAACGTGCTCTAAACAGTTTACGTGTAAGATGTATGTGTGCACCTACACTGTCATGAACATAACTCATCTTCAAATTCTCCCAACACCTAGCAGCAGACTCTTCTCCATGAATATGAACTAGCTGCTGATCACTCAGTATTAGTCCAATTATACAAAGAGCTCGTTCGTTGTTCTGTTTAAAGTCAGCAAGCTTCTTGGCATCATCCTCATTATTTAGATCCCAAGCATTTACATCCGGTGGGTTTTGAACTACATTCCATAAACCTTCTCTATGCAGAAGTAGACTGCACTTCATAGTCTAGGAAACATAGTTTGTTCCATCCAGCTGGGTTATCAGTAATAGACTTGTTGAAGTGACTTGTGCCATCTTTACCAGGATAGTAACCACAATTAAACAGTAAACAGCTGTCTGTATACAGTACTGTGTATTCACACCAACTCTCAGTTATCTGAGCCTGGTATGGCCTGGGCCCATAACCATTGTTGAGGTAATTCCCCGTTAGGAGAATGAGTGCATACAGGGAGACGTATTGAGAGTAGTGTTTGAATAATACACACACACAGCACATAGATACATTGTACAGTAAATGTAGGTTTTTACTTCTGGAAATGTTTAAGCAAAGTTCAAACACAAAGTCATTCACAGGTAAATCAGTCAGTTTTCAATCCAGTGATAATTACAATATCAAAGTCCAGTGTCAAAAACAGTTCAGTATCAGACTTACATCAAATCCAAGAATAGCAGTCAATAGAAGGAACGGCAATATTCTCCAACAGAAGGAAACTAAGACTTGCTCACACTCTCTTCTGAGACTAAGACTAAATAACCCAGGTTTCTGGCTCCATCTTATGGCCGTTTGAGAAACCACACCTAATTACAGTTTTGCATTTTCTTAAAGAGACAGTATTAAAATGTCTATCCTGGTTTATATATTTCCAACCCAAATAACTGTTAGGTGACTTATATTCCTAACAATGGGTATCGCTGCATTTGGTTTTTTTAATCACGTGAAGGGTTGTGTTCTGTTTAGCATCATCTACATTTTCAGTATACGATTTTATTTTCAGATTTTATAAAACATTATTGCTAATATAAGGTTGTGTAAAATCTGCCATTATTATACATTTTGCAGTAAATACAGTGAAAATAAGATTTACTTTTGAAGAATTTTGCCAAATTATCTCAAATTTTCAATGCAATTTGGGTGTCATTTTGTACTGAATTGTACCTGAAAGTTTAGCTTGGTTCTTTCTGGCATCACTTTTAGGCATGTTGCATTTCAAAATATTTACATTTGTTATTCTATTTTTCTATTTTAAGGACAATGCTTTTTTTGTTTTACAAATCTGCGTGCTGATATAATTATAGGGTTTCCAGCATGGGGTTGGACTACAAGATCTCCAAAGTCCCCCCAACTCTGTTATTCTGTTCATTTTTCATTCTTTTCTTTTCATTGACTAATATAAAACTATTTTTATTGCAAAAAGTTTACTTGCAAATGGATGCACTTTTAAATTACAATTGAGTATAATATTCTAGATTTTATAAAGGCAATGAGGTCTGCTGCTCCTAGTGGTGACACTAGGATACTGCCCACTCACCAGGGCAGTGCTGAGTTGAACACAGACCAAACTGACATCAGGCACAGGCAATAAGCCAGTTGGTTGGGTGAGGGGGCTGTTGTTTTTTGTTGTTGTTGCAACCAATGGATCTACAGTCATATCCATCAAACAATTCTAAATTTTATAAAGACTGTGAATTTATTTACTTCATTATTATGTGGAACTCCCTGGAAAGTGTTTAATTTGATTTTATTTATTAGATTAGTTTAATCCTAGGAAAAGCATGGTTTCCAAATGTCTGGAATTATAAAGAAAAACGTATTTAATTACAAGGTATGTATTGGATATATTTGCTCTAAATGGAGAAAAAGTCTTGTGCAACACAATGCTAAGTATTCACAAGGGTTTGTAACCTTAGAAATCCATCTTGGAAAACAGAGATTTAAACTTGCCAAAAATAGCCAGAAGGTATTTAAAAGTTCCAGTCCAACTACTTCTCCATTCTGAACATTTGTTTAACACAGCTGACTATGGAAACACTTATGGTACTATGAAATAAATTTGCCCTGATGCTTGCCAGCAATTGCTTTGAGGATCTCTAAAGTTTCATGAATATTACTCACCAAGTGCAAAGTTCTTACTTGTAATAATCTGCCTTAAGAAGAAACTGACATTGTATTGCAAAAAGGGCAGCAAACAGGGTTTCTGAATTTATCAGAGCCATCTAGTAACTAACTAGTAACTATCTAGTTTTTTGCAGCCCAGATCTGTTAGTTCTGATTTAATTTTAAGTCTAAATCTAAATTTGCTTCAGGTGTTTTTAAGGCTAAGTGTTGTAACATTAGTTACAGATCAAAAAATTACTGGCTAACATGCGATCCTTATCTTGGAAAAAAAAGCTGTGTCCTTACTAATATTTGCAATAGTGTCAAATTAGCCTGTTTACATATTCAGATATTTTGAAAAACATCAGTAATTGGAAACATGCAAACAAACAAGTATTGGTAGCACATACTGTCTCTTTTCCTTTCAAAGCCTCTATCTTTGAGCCCAAACTAGAAGAAAATATATGTACAATTTGTGCAATAATTAAAAAAAAGAAAATAATCTATAAATTGTAAATAGCCTTACCAATTTCAGTCATGTACATTTTCCCATTAGATGGTAGGGGAATATATTGGTTAGAGAAGAAGTTGCTTCCATACCCCAGGACGAAACCTTCCAGTTTAGTGCTTGGAGTTGGACGAATGTATCTCATGCACACTGCATCACTGGTTACATTGATCTGAACTTTCAGGCTTTGTTTTTTAACTAAATGTAGCAAAAGAACAAGATAAAGAAAAATTTGATTACAGCATAAAATAATCACCACACACACACACACACACACCAAATACCACTTGCGCAGCATCACAAAATCTCCAGAACTGTAAAGCCTACGAACTTGAAATTTGACACATATGTTCCTCTTGGCTTCTAGCTGCTCACTAAGAAAGGATTTATCGAAATTACCATCAGAGCATTAGTATTTTATATATTATTAATAATATGCTTTGATGCTGTGATCTACTCCCCCCCCCCACCTGAAAAGAACCCTGTTCCAACTGCCAGTTGCCTCACATTTCCATCCCTTAATAACTTCATAGCCATTTGCACCACTCAGGTGATCGAGGACACAGATAAACCTCCAAGTTGCCTCAACGACTCTCTAAAAGGATGCAAACTATACTTCCAAACAGGAAGCGACTTTGGCATTACACACCATCCAGTCAGAGCTAAAGAAGCTCCTTGGATGAGAAACAAAACATCTTCAAAGAAAAACCAGAAAGTCCAGTTGGCTCCTGAAAAAAGCACCTTTGGGACAACAGTTGGAAGATTGTATTTTACAACACTTTTGCTGGATAGATAGATAGATAGATAGATAGATAGATAGATAGATAGATAGATAGAT